TTGTCTAGTCCGCGATGTTGCAGTACCGCACAACACCTGTCCCTTTCACCCCTCATCACCCCTCATCACCCCCCATCACCCCCCATCACCCCCATCACCCCCATCACCCCTGCAGCTCCTCCTCCCCTCCACCGACCACCGTGCCTTTCACATGGCCAGGGCCGTCCACTCTGCCCTTATCGTCCCTCTGATCCCTCTTCACCCCTCACCACCCCTCATCACCTCTCATCACCTCTCCACTTCCCCCATCCCCCCTGCAGCTCCTCGTTCCCTTCACCACCCACCGCGCCTCTCACATGCTCAGGGCTGTTCGCTCCGCACACTCTCCCCGCCACCTGCACCAACTTCTCTCTGTATGTTGCTCCTGTCTGTTTCTTGTGGCACCTGTAACCATAACACCTGTAACCGTAACACCTGTAACTGTAACACCTGTAACACCTTCAGTACCTGAACCTGCTGTTTGCGACATGGCACCTGTCTGTTTGCTCTGCGCACTCTCCCCGCTACCTGCACCAGCTTCTCTCTGTAAGTCATTCGATGCTGTAGATTAATGTGTCTCAGTTAGCACTACGGGTTGTGCATGCCCCTTTGCATTGTAGGTTTTGTGCAACCGTACTGCAACATCTGTCACCGCTCTTGTTGCTGCCTGCACCTCTGTGTGCGGCTCGCTTCTGTATCCTGCCATTTTGCTGCTTGTGAATGATTCGCAGCTACGCTTCTCGACAGCACACATGCCACACGTGTTGCAAAATAGTGCATGTATGTACATCATGGTGCATGCCTATACAAACTCATGCCATCGTCAAGCCGTTCTTGTGCATGTCTACACGCAAAGGCAACAAACCTTAACCATATATCAACCGCATGTGCAGATGCAAGGGCGTGAACAGCAGCACACGCCACACATGCGTTATCCCATCATCTTTCCTCATTTCAGGTAGATCCGTTTTCCACCTCTGCATGCATGCTCCGTGGACTCTGCCTCCTAACGTCGTCTCCTTGGACTCTGCCTCCTAATGTCGTCTCCTTGGACTCTGCCTCATAACGTCCTCCCCTTGTTGCTGCCATCTCTTGTTCCTACTCCCCCTTCCGCCTTTGACACTCTCCCCACTGGCTCACAAACTCCTGGACTAGATTCGGAATGCTGTGTGAACAGTCCCAAGCCCTCCATTTTTGGTGTGGATTTGACATGCTGATTTCGTGCATCCCTTTCACCTGCCGTTGCTGTCCTGGCAGCAAGAGCGGGGTTCACCCCTCGCTCTTCTATGCGAGGCGTGTCTCTCTTCTATGCAAGGCGATTTGAAGCCAGGGTGATGAGGCAAGGCAGAGGAAGTCAGCAGGGCGCATCATGTTTCTTTTCTTCCCTTTCCCCTTAATGAATCTACAGCAAGAGCGGGGATCTCCACTCTCTCTTCTATGCAAGGCGGTTTGAAGCGGGGGTGATGAGGCAAGTCACGCTTGTCGACCAGAGCAGAGCCAATTCCAACTGCCTGCCACCCTCGTTACAGTCACCGTCGTCGCAGTCTGCACCTTCTTTACAAACGTCATCACCACATTTCGTCGTCTCCATTAGTATGTTCGCCAGTGCTGCTGCCCTCCTCCCACTTTCCAGAACCAGTGTCAAGCACAGCTGCAGCCAGCTGTGTGACTCGGGTTATTTCAGCAGAGAGAGCAACTTGGATCCCCTATCCTCTCGCCCCTCCTCCTCCTTCCTCCCCTTCCCCTCCTTCCTTCGAAAAAGCCCCATTCTAAGACTGGATAAGGGAGGCTATACTCGTTATAAAGTCGACAACCAAGGACCCACCTACAGAGGGGGTCACTGGGTGTTCACTAACGGGGTGGAGCAGGTTCTCTCCCTGTCATCACCTGGCTATCTTCCCTACGAGCTTCCTGCTGCTGATTCCCGTGCTACTGAACTTGTGGCAGAGCAACCCGAGCGGCCACAACCGCAGATGCAGCAACACCAGCAAGCACAGCAGAAAGAGGCGGAAGGGCGCGAGGAGGACCGAGAGCAGCAGGGGACCGAGAACCGAAAGCAGTAAGGGGACCTGGGATTGCAAGCAGGGTGGGTGCGGAGAGGGAAAAAGCGGGGGGGGTGAGAGGTGGAGGAGTAGCTGGGAGCGGAGTGGGATGGAGGAGAGGGGGAGGGGGGCAGTAGCTGGGATGCGTGGGGGAGGCACAAGAAGGGCAGAGGCAGGCTGCAGCAGAGGGAGACGGAAGCGAGGAGAGCTGAACAGCAGAGACAACAACAGCAGCAGCAGCAGAAGCAGCAGCAACAAGAAGCAGAAAGGCGGCCTGTCCCACAAGCTGCGTGTGCACTTGTGTCACAAGCAGCAGCTGTTGAGACTGGTGAAGCTCCAGCTGTCAGCAGCAGCAATCACGTGGCAAGGAGGCTGTCATGGGAGCTTGTGTCAGAGCAGCCATTTCACCGAAATGAGTGAGTCCTCTCGCATCAGTACGCAAGGGGAATTGGGCAAACATGGGTGGGTTAATCCCACGTGCGAGATTATCACAGGGAAACAGGGAAGGGGATTGGCCAGAGCTGTTGAGTGGGATGTGCGGGCTTGTTTCTGACTGACGGGAGCTGTACGGGTTGCGTCTCCATTGCACCGGCCCTCACCCTCCTTTCCTCTATGTGTTGATGGCATGTGGAATTGGCCGTCGGAGCCGTAATGGTATATGCCTGCCCTGCGTCTCCCTGTTGGAGCTGCTGCAACTGCCGTGTCATGTCATGGTTGCTTGCTATACACCCTATGCACTTTGATTGATACCCCTCACTCTCCCGCATACCCTCCAACAATGCTATTTTTCACAGGGGAGTTTACCCATCGGCCGCGGCCCTTCAGACCTAGCAGAGGCAGATGGCAGAGTACCGGGCCAATGGCACCCCAATCAACCACCCCTGCCTCCACTGCACTCCCCTTCACTTCCTCTCTCTCCCCTCCCTCCCTTCACTTGCAGATGCAGTGTCGCGTGGCCGGTGGACCATTAGACCTAGCAGAGGCAGATGGGAGTCGCACTCTCGACGACTCGATGGCAGTCGCCAGTCTCAACGACACGCCCCTGCTGCAGGTGCACTGGTCCCATCCCCATGGGCTCCCCATTCTGTCAGCTCTGCCTGCCCCCCTTCCCTTCCAGGAGAGTTGTCGCTTGGCCGTGGACCTCTGTACCTAGCAGAGGCAGACGGCAGTCGCAGTCTCGACGACATGTCACTGCTGCAGGTCGTGCGGCTGCAACGGCTGTATCGGCAATGCTGCAACGACAGGGAGAGCACGCGAATACTGGTGGGTGCTGTTGCAACGAATGTATTTAAGTTCTGCTCGTGCTCATCCACATGTCTCTGCTGCAGGTGGTGCGGTTGCAGCAGCAGTAGTACTGGTGCTGCTGCAAAGGCAGGGAGAGCACGTGAATACTGGTAGGTTGTGACTCTACTGAAGTGATTTATGGCTGTTGCGATGAGTGTTATTACTAAAACGAGAGGTGATTCCAGCAACCGCCGCCTCTCCTATAAACTACCACCTCCCTCTTTGCCTGCAACAGTCCAGTAATTGTTTCCCCCTCTCTTGCATGCGCCCCCTCTCTTGCATGCGCCCCCTCTCTTGCATGCACCCCCTCTCTTGCATGAGCCCCCTTTTTGCATGAGCCCCCCTTTTGGCATGCGCCCCACTGTTTGCATGCGCCACTCTCCCCATGCCCTCTGCAGGTAAAAATCCAGCTGTGTGCCGTTGTTCCACGCCCTGTTTTTGGTGTTCATTTTTCCAAGAGTAATTTACCCCTCCCCCCTGCAGGTGAAGATCCATCAGCGAGTCGCTTCTCCCGTGCGCCACCTTCCTCTTCGCCATCCTGGGAGCTCTCTTCGCCACCCCACCTGCAGATCAGAAAGTGGCAGGTGAGAGAGGAAGGACAGGTGAGAGGAGAAGGGGCAGGTGAGAGAAGAAGGGGCAGGTGAGAGAAGGGGCAGGTGAGAGGAGAAGGGGCAGGTGAGAGGAGCTCGGTGCAAGTAAGAGGGCGAGAGGTGGGGTGGGACCGTGGGAGTGGTGTTGCTGCAAATAGACCCTCATCCTCTTTGCCAACCTGGGAGCTCTCTTCGCCGCCACCGGCAGATCAGGTGAGAAGGGAAGCCGCAGGTGAGAGAAGGTCGGTGCACATAAGAGAAAGTGAGAGGCGGGGAGTCTTGTTGTTGCAGATGGGTGCACATCTCGTCCTCGTCATAAGTACTCTTTGCTGCCCACCTGCAGATCAGAAAGCGACAGGTGAGAGAGGAAGGGACAGGTGAGAGGGGAAACAACAGGCGAGCTCTCACTACTATCTTACTGTTACATGCCTTGCTCCAATATCTTATCCTCATGTACATTGCCTGGTGTAATTGTATGCAGTCTATTTTTGAGGCGCCTAAAAAAACAAATGCTTGCTCCATATCCTCATATCCATTGCCTAGTGTATTTGTGTGGTGCCTTGTTTAAGCCTCCCTTTCTGAGCAACAAGCGAGCTCTCATGATCGTACCCTCGCGTTCCTCGCCCCATATCCTCATTTCCCTTGCCTGGTGTGATTCTGTTGCGCCTCAAAACCATCTTAGCATTCCAAACTTCGTTCCCCCCATTTTGCAGGGTATTTTTTAAATTTCTCAAAGACACCCTGTCAGGCCTGGAAAGCATTCTACTATTCCATACTTCGTTCCCCCAGTCATTCTTCCCATGCAGTTTGGCTTCGCCCTCGCATTCTTTGTCACCTTCACCTTTTGCTCTCTCTCCGTCACTCGTGTAGTTTTGCGGCTCCTCCTTCAAAGCTATCCTCCCTTCTGTCCCTACTTCCCTCCATCGTCCCTCGCATCCCGTGCAGGTCAGCTTCGCCCTCGCAGTCTTTGTCATCTTCACCTATTACTCTCTCTCCGTCACCGGTGTCCTTCTTGCTCAGGTAGAGTGCATTTGCCTTCCCCGGTTGGGTCTCCTCTTCCCTCAAGACGCAACCACACCTACTGCTCTCTCTCTCTCTCTCTCTCTCTCTCCGTCAGGGACTCAGCAGTGATTGGCTCTCTCAGCAGTGTCTGGCGATGTTCACCTGCCACCACGTGATAATCTGTTTTCAGCTCACACGCTTGGTAGGTCTCCCCCTGTTGTGCTGCCTCCCTCTTCTCAGCTGTGTGTGATCAGCCCGGTGCCGGGTGGGTGTCTGCTGTGCCGAATCTAGTGAGGGCTGCAGCGGTGCTTGTTGCTTATGCGAGATGATTGCTCACTCGATGCGTTTCCCTCTCTTGGTCCTGGCCTTGACTCCCTCTTCTCAGCTGCGTGTGATCAGCCCGGTGCTGGGTGGGTGGCTGCCGAATCTAGTGGGGGCTTTAGTGGCACTTGTCCTGTTGCGCATGGGAGATGATGTGCAGTAATTTGAGGGGATCGTATATCAACATTTCTTCTTTTCACTACCATACCTACATCTTGGGAGGGTGAATATCAGTGAAGGCCAAGGGGAGTTTCTGTCGAGTTATATTATATATATATAATTGTTTAGGCTTGGTAGGTTTTTACATTACAGAATCCTACTGTAGAGGGGACAACCCCCCGTTCTTGTATCTCCTTCTCTTTCCTCTCGTAACTTCTCTCCCCTAGCCTAAAACCCCTCGCCATTTTCATGGCTTCTAAGACACCTCCTAGTTTCTCAACGCCTTTCATCGTGCTATCAGAGCAGGCCGATCCTGCCTGTCATCACGCTTCCGCAGCGTCCTCTCGCCCCTCCCGTCGCTTATGCGCCGCCATGGCAGCCATGTCGTGTGGCCAAGGCGGCCTTTATGCACTGCCCTGGCAGCTGTGGCGGGGAGGAGGGGGAAATGCAGAGGAGGGAGGAGGGGGTCTTCAGCGAGGCGCCGTGGCAGGCGCGTCGCTGGCTGGCGTGCGGGTGAGCTGGCTTGGCGCTACAACCGGGCGCTGACCGCTGCCGTCCATGCGCTGGCGCGTCGACGCTGCAACGGCAGCACGACGACGCCACCACGGCGTGGCGTCGATGCCACGGCAGCGCATCGGGGCTGCTGACGGTCTCGTGCCATCTCCCCCCCATCATCACAGTGTGTGCCACGTTGCCGGGTGCCTCACGCGCCGCCACCGCCGCCGCAGGTGCTGCAGGCCCTGCCGCCGCCGCCGCCGCAGTCGCCGAAGCCGCCGCCGCCGCTGCGACCCGCCGCCTCGAGTGCCGAGGGGTTGACCCGCTGCTAGATGCCACAGCTGCTACAGGACACAGGGGGTGCAAGGGTGTGGAGGTGATCGTGTTGGGTGGGCTTGCCACTACCAAGCCTAGGGGGAGTGTCAAGTTATATATTATATTGTTGACTATTTCGTCCTGATATTTAAGGGCAGGATTAAATTGTTGGCTATCTCAGAGTAGATTTGTTAACTAGAATGAGTTTGTACAAGGGATTATAACCTAAGGGGTTGTACCCTATATGAGCATGCACCTAGCTAGCCTGTAACATATCCAAATTATATGTTGACACACCCCCTAGGCTAGACAAGGGGCAGCGACTAGCAAGAGACACACAGCTCACGGTGGCACTACTAGTCCAACCTCCAAGGCAGGGGTCCAAAGACCAGTCAGCAAGAGTACAAACGAAAGATATCAGTCAGCAAGTGTAATCCAAGGCCGCACTACTAGTCCAGCCACTGGAACAAGGGCCACAAGGCCAGTCAAGGTAATATAAGTAGTACACAGTCAGGGACCTAGCAAGTGAGAAGCCACAGGAACTAGACCAAGCTGTACACAGTGCCGCTGATGATCTTTAGGCGCAAGTGCCTTCGTAAAGATATCAGTTGAATTGGCACCGGAGGCCAAGTGTACTACGCGGGCCTGACGGCGCTGCTGTAGCTCGCGCAGGAGGAAGTACCGCAGCTGAATGTGCTTCGCTCTGCCCTCCAGTCGAGGCTCCTGACACAAGAGGATTATGACCCTCTTGTCAACGTACAGGATCGGGATAGAGCTAGGCTG